TCTGCTGGGACCATGTCAGTAATGGGAACTAGGAAACCACACACACAGACGCACACACACACGCACGCACACGCACGCACGCACGCACGCACACGGAGACACACCCAGACACACTGACACACACGCACACGCACGCACGCACACACACACACGGAGACACACCCAGACACACTGACACACACACGCACGCACGCGCGCATGCACACACACACGGAGACACACCCAGACACACTGACACACACACGCACACGCACGCACGCACACACACACACGGAGACACACTGACACACACACACAGAGACACACACAGAGACACACACACACACACACACACACACACACACACGGCTCACAACTCCTCTCACCAGGTCAGATGGCCCCTTCCTTAGGAAAAGCTAGTCAGAAAAGCAGCTGCAGAGGGAGGAAGCTACAAATTATATGACAGTGCCCCAGCCCCCAGCCCCTCATAACAATGCCCAAGGAGCTTGTGTGTCCTGTCACTGTCAACAAATGTTAGTGTTATTATTAAAACAGCATCTGCCGTTTATGAACTGCCGACTGCATGCCCCCAACAAATGAGGCACTTTTTATACATTATATTTTTACCTTGTAGATTAGGAAACAGAGGTTAGGACACGTGCCCAAGGTCACCCGGTCGGCTGGAGCCCTCCCCCTTGACTACGCAGTCCTTGGCAGATGTTAGCTCCCTTCTCATCCCCCTTTCTAGAGCACTCTCCTGGGCAGAGGGGTTCTGTGATGCCAGGTGACAGCCTGTCTCTACCTGTCCTCTTTGCTTAGAGCACAGAGAAGGTTTCCTACGTTGAGGGGGACCCAGCATAGCTATTCTTGGCAAGAAGCTGCCTGCTCAGCTGTCCTCTTCTCCAGCTGTCCCAGACCATGCAGACCCTCAGGTAATCTCCTCTCCCTGACCCCCATCCCTTCCAGGAGACACAGGCCCAGGGACCAGCTGTTTCAACAGCTGCTGAAATCCAGGTCACGAGCCAGTGGCAACCCCCATAGTTGCTCTGCTTTATTTTTCTTCTGTGCAGAGGTGCCCTCGGCTGCCCCAGCCTCACAGGGAGGAGATCCTCCCCAAATTCCCCACTCACACTGGGAAGTTTTCAGATGCCCGAGGCCAGGAAAGCACAGGAAAACCCCAGGGGAGTCATTAGCAACACAGTAGCTAGGCCTGGCCAAGCCCCTTCTCAAATCCATGCCTCAGTTTCCCCACAAGACAACAAAGGGCTAGGTCGGAAATAGCTAGGGTCCTGCTGGGCACTCACATTCTGTGTGTCCCACCTCTTCTCCCAGGGGAGGTGTGTGTCCTGCAGAGCTATGGAGACCTGACTGATGGGCTGGCTCCCTTAGCGCCCGCCCTCACAGGCTGTCTGGAAGCTCTGTGAGGGCAAGGCCTGGGCCTCACCTTCCTCAGCTTCCCCTATTCTGCTCAGAGCTGCAGTGGCTCAGCAAACCCCCATGGAAGCAGAGGACCCTGCTGACTGACTGCCAGCCCAGCCGTCGACACAGACACGAGCAGTTTATCCCTTCCCTAGACAGCGATTCTAGCCCAGACAAAAGGCACAATGGAATGTACTGCGGATTTCAACTTCAAAGCACAACTTTGATGAAAAGGGTTAAAGGACATGGTGCAGAGTGGCGACAGCTGGTGGCCTGGTCCCATAGCGGGTGGAGGGCTAATGCAGATGCCCAGACCAGAACACGTTCTCCCCTCCACCCTGCCCAGGGAAGTGGGGACAGACTTTTTCCATACATGCCAAGTCTCAGCCAGCAGGGACCCCACTCACCAAGCATGCACTAGGTGCCAGACCCTGTATCAGACACTGGGACAAGTGTGGCCAAAGGAGGGCCCAGCAAGGGGACGGGGCTGGGGGTGGAGCAAACAGGACAGGCAGCTTTGATTTAACTTCCCACGCCACATGCATAACTCTGGAAGGGGCCAGGGTCAGAGAGGGAAGGCTCAGCCTCCAATGGG